TATCGATAGATTTGTCCATCAGTAAAATAGCATCAAACTTTTACTTTGAATTTTGATTAATTTGTGTAAAATTTATTGGTAAATATCTCTTAAAATCCGTCAGTAAAATGAGCAACGAACTTACTGCCAAGTCTAATAAATTTGTTTAATAATTAAGTTGAGATGGATAAGAGGAAGAAAAAGACGAGGAGGAAGAGGAAAAGGAGTAGGAGAAGCTAATGCTAGTGGTTGTGGCAAAGGTGTGACAGTGGTGTAATGATAAAGCAATGGTGCTCACAAGAACGATGGTCGGAGTTGGAAGAAAAAATGGAGAAAGAGAAGAAAAAGTCAAAGATGATTGACGTGTCAACGACAACAACGACGGTGAAGGAGAAGGGCGAGTAAGAAAGGGGGAGGAGGAAAACAAGTAGGAGAAGAAGAGGGGGAAGACAAGAGGAAGAAAAGAAGAAAAAGAATAAAAGATGAAAGAAAAGAAGAAAAAGAATAAAAGATGGAAGAAAAGAAGAAAAAGAATAAAAGATGAAGAAAAATAAGACCTAATTGTGATATTTATTAACGAATTTTATCGACATCAAAATATGTTGATATTACTAACAAATATTTATTGACATACTTAGGTTACCAATTATCAAGACATGCTTATTGATGAATTTTTAGTTGTTAGTAAATTTTATTGATAAGTGTTTTATTAACAAATTTTTATCATTTGATAAACTTGAATTAGTAATGAATTTTTGCTATTATCCACAAATTTTTTTAATACATAATTAATGATTTTCTTATAGTTTTACTTTTCTTTTCCTATTACTCAACTAAAAAATACTTCACTAAAATAATTAACCATTAATGAAAGAGAATTATATTTGTTATTTTATTAACCATGCCTCGTTATTTAATTAGGAAGTATCGATTGAGAGAGGCCGAGAGAGAAACGTTTTTCCTTTGTTCAAATGGAACCACCTACTTTGTTCTTGTTTAAATTATTAAGGTGTCTATAATTTATTAAGTAATTATATATATATATATATATATATATATATATATATATATATATATATATATTTTGTTAGTTTCATTTATGAAATATATTTTCGTATTGACCAAAATTTTTCTCCATTTTTTTCATCTGTACCAAATTAAGTGTAAATCATAAAATAGAAATGACCATTTTTAAATGTTTAAAAACAAAATTATTATAGAATCTATCTACTTTAATTAATCTTTCTGTGTATAGTTTCACNTATATATTTTGTTAGTTTCATTTATGAAATATATTTTCGTATTGACCAAAATTTTTCTCCATTTTTTTCATCTGTACCAAATTAAGTGTAAATCATAAAATAGAAATGACCATTTTTAAATGTTTAAAAACAAAATTATTATAGAATCTATCTACTTTAATTAATCTTTCTGTGTATAGTTTCACTATAATTATTAGTTATGTGTGTGAAGGGTTAATAAGAAGTTGCTATTGCTATTGCTATTACTATTATTATTATTATTATTATTATTATTATTATTATTATTATTATTATTATTATTATTATTATTATTATTATTATTATTATTATTATTATATATACGTATATATATACACGCATTGGTACATATAAAAAGATACATTGTTAAGATATGAAATCGGCTTTACGCAAAGTTTAGGAGATAACAGCTTCTACTCAACAGTTCACAACCGTACGTCTACTTTTTATATAATTTACAAAGTGAAGACTTTATGATAAGAAAGAAAAAAAAAAAGAAAGAAAAGATCCATGCTCTCTTCATTTTTTTTCAAATTGATACCCAGAGAATATAGCAACTTCTGGTATATGTATATATGTAATGTGACCTAACACACATATTTATCCTCATAATCTATTCAGTCATATCATACAAGGTAGACGTCAGAATCTTATCAATAGTAAATTGTAAATACTTTTGCAATGCTCATTAAACATCTTATTAAAAAAACATTTTGCTCATAAAAAATATTTAATTTTGTGCAAAAATTATAAAAAAACATAAATATGATACTATTTTTATAAGAAGAGAAAGTACAATATACTTTCTTTCAAACAAAATAAAATCTAACAAACAACGTATATTTAAGATGGATTTTGAAAAATTATAATATCATATTAAGATATTGTCTTCAAATCAACCTTACTAATAATTAATTTGTTTATGATTGGGTAATAATTATGGTGTTGAGAATGAGGAAAAACCCTCCGACATATTTGATTATACACATAAAAGGTGGTTAAAACTTATGTCTTTTAAGGGTGTCCAGTTATTCCCAATGATGAGTAGCCAACATCACAGCTACTTTCATGTAACATCAACCCCACCATGTTCACGTGGACTCTCGTGATCTTCGTCCTCCCAAATCTTTCTATCATTCACTTTCTATTTCTTCCACACACACATGAACCAAATCAAATCAACTCAATCACTTCACCAAATGCTTCATTCTAAAACACAACTATAACTTGGAATGTCAGAATAATTATTCTAATAACTAACTAAAAAGATTAATTTTAAAATTCTACACAAAAACCATGCATCAAACTATAACAAAGACTTAGGTTGTCAATTACCAAGGTGTATTGATGAACTTTTTTTTGTTTAGTAAAATTTATCGATGGATGTTTTATTGACAAAATTTTATCATTAGTAATAAATTTTTATTATTATTGATGGATTTTGTTAGTAGATAATTAATGATTTTCTTATAGTTATTTAATTAGGAAGCATAGATTGAGAGAGGCTGAGAGTCAAAGGTTTTTCATTTCCATTTTGTGTCTTTTGTTCAAACGGTTGCTATCCTAAAAACGTTTAAACAGTTGCAAGAAAAACAAAATAAAATGTTCGTTTCATATTGTATATTGATTTGTCTTTTCTTCATTACATGTGCAATGAATTACCCTTATGAATAACTTTTTAAAAATCTTATAGCACTTTCAGAAAATAAAGACTAAATCGGATATTCATCCAACATGGCAACTGTTTTTCTTTTCACACTATACAAAATTAAAATAATAATAATAATAATAATAATAATAATAATCCCATCCAATAGTTTTCCTTTTCACACCAATAGCAAAAGCACAGACACAGTTTCTTTTCACACTACTGTAGCAATGAAAAAAACCCTATTGCAATGTTTTTGGTAGTGGTGTGTATTAATCAGCAATTTGACAACATGGGTGCTTAGGATTTTGAATTTTTGAAGGTTTGATTTGTGGAGGACCATGAACCCTACCGGGGCCATGTGATGCCATATGGGCAACTCAGCAAATTTAAGCAACAAGGAAGAATTGTGTTGCCTCTTGTAACATAATAGGGGTATAATTATGCGACAATGATAATGATATGTGGGAGACCCTTGTGGTCCTTCCAAAGGCCAATCATTTCTGAAGTGACCTAAAATCAGAGGCCATGCACCTTCTATCATGAGGTTACAACAAACCCTAATGGATAATGCAATCATCGATTATAACTGCAAACCAATCATGGACCACCCCAAGACAAAATATATACTTGTAATATCAAGCTTTCAAAGAAAACTAAAGAAAATCTATGAAGGTGCATGAAAAAAGTTTGAAAAGAAATCATCTTTATCCTCTTCAATGTACGTAATTTTCACTCTTCTATTTTCACTTCTTCTCACCATCTACACATGAATATTTATAAAAAGAAAATAGTGAGACATGAGATATTGTGTTCAGAATTTTAAAATAAGGGAAAAGTTGTTTTTAGTAATATTTTATTTGACAAACCTAAACTTTTAAATCAATAAATCAGTTTAATCTTTCTATGATATTTAAATTTAAATAGAGGAAATTTGTTCTGTCACAAAATTAGAAAAACGACTAATTTTTTTTTTAGGATGTAATGAATTTTATCAATTCCAGAACCAAATTTAATACATATATGCCAAAGACATATTTTCCCTTAAAGATATATAAATGGGAAGATGAGTATAAACAAATAAATTAACTATTTTTTGACATTATTATTATATACTCTTGAGTGGCTTTTGGCTTTTGTAGTGCTATAAAGATAAACAGGAAAAAAATTAAGAATGCGTGGAAAATTTTACAAAGTTAAAAAATGGTTTGGATGAAGAATCTGGATAGGGAATGTTAGGAAAGGAAACTCAACCTTTTGAGAGAATAATAAAGAGAAGAGGCATAGCTCACTATTAGCTGTCACTCCTAGATTCTTTGCTTCATAGATAAAAGAAAATTCTTCATTAGAGATAAAAAAATATTTTTGTGTTAACTTTAGAGAAATGGTTTTTGTTTTATAACAAATAACTGAGAATAATGTTCATTTCTTTTTTCTTTATTTGTTTCCTTTCTCTTTATTTATATACAAAAAGAAAATACTTTGTTTTTATTATTTTTTAAAATGTTTAACAATGAAAAAATGTGAAAAATTTCTCAATTCATACAAGTTTCTTCCATTATTTAAATGAGCATGAAAAATGAAAGAAAAAGATAATTAGTTCTTTCTATCCTTCACTTTCTATTTCTTCTCCACACACACATGAACCAAATCAAATCAACTCAACCACTTCACCAAATGCTTCATTCTAAAATAGAACTATAACTTGGAATGTCATAATAATTACTCTAACTAAAAAGGTTAACTTTAAAATGCTACACAAAAACCATGCATCAAACTATACCAAAGAGATTCTCCCAAAAACCCCACGACTAGTTCTCGTGCTCTAGGGTCACCCATATGCAATCATATTTTATTATTGAAACATCGAGGCCCCACATATCTAGATTCTATATGCCAAAGTTGAACATGCCCATACATTTAACTCTTCCACTTCCAAGAGTATTTTCCTCTTGTTTTATTTAGCCTCATCCTCTTTTCACACATATATATACCCTGCCACCCTTTGCATTCATTCCTCAACAACAACAATATCATCATCATCATCATCATCACCAACAACAACCGAAACCCAAAATCCCTTCTAAACCTAAAAATCTCTTTTTTCTTTCTTTCTCAAATACCCTTTTGCTCAGAAGTGAACAGCCCTTGTTCACATACCAGAAAAAGCAAAGTTAGGAAGAAAAAAAATGTCTGGGGTGTGGATGTTCAAGAATAATGGTGTGTATCGGTTGGTGGAAAACCCTCAAGCTGAAGGGTCAGACGGAAGACAAGGGAAGGGAAGTAGCTCAAAGAGAAAGGTTTTGGTGCACTTGCCAAGTGGAGAAGTGGTTTCTTCCTATGCTTTTCTTGAACAAATTTTAACTGGATTAGGTTGGGAGAGGTACTATGATGGAGATCCTGACCTCTACCAATTCCACAAACACTCCTCAATTGACCTAATTTCCCTCCCAAAAGACTTCTCCAAGTTCAACTCCATCAACATGTATGATATAGTCATCAAGAACCCCAATGTCTTCCATGTTCGTGATAAGTGAGTCTTCATTGTTTCTTCACGTCGCACACTTTTCTTCTTCTCTATTTTTGTTTATAATTTCACTTTCTATTGGTCTACTTCCTCGTCTTCATGAGTTCTTATATATATAGCTACCTAGAGTTTGTTAACTCTTGTTGGGTTTTTCCTCTTTTTTCTTTTTTGAGTTTTTTCTTTTCTTTTTGTTCATAAGATGGTCGATGGTGTGGGGTGCATGAGTAGAAGAATATATGAGTTTATTGGGGTGCTTATGTAACATATGGGTATTGATTTCTAATAACATTTATGCATTTTCATGAAGAATTATATATACTTCCCTTTCTTAAAATTTTCTCTCTGTGATCTCTACACGTACTTGGAAAGTGGGATTTTAATATTTTAACATTAATTCATACCTTCCATTTTTTTTATTACATGTGAGGCTTTGAGTGGATTCTACTGTGCTAATTCAATATTGACGATGGAGGAGGGAAAAAAAAGAAAGAGAGAAAAAAAACCTTGATTTTTGATAGTATTTATATCCACACTATTTATCTTTCTATCACTTTTTTTGGTTACAAATAAAAAATTAAGTTTTTTTAATGATCACTTTATATATCACTTTTAAAAGTAAGTTGTCAATCTGTTCAAGAGGTGTCAAAACATACTCATGTGTCAACAACATTGGCTAGAATTGCACGTGTTCCCAAAATGTGGAAAGGCCAATTCAACACAAAGGTTTCAAGGTTTGTTTGGTTAAGGAAAACAGAAAGAGGACCTGGGATTTTGATAAGCACATGTTGTCTGCTTGTTCCCAATTTCCATGGATCACCACATCTCAAAAGGTTAGGAAATTGATTGATCACGTGTCTATGTTTTCTCTCCAATTAAATACCACCTATATTTACTTTTTTTTCATATATATATTATACACATGGGTGTGGGTGGGGACTTTGGGAGTTAATTTGGATTTTCAATTTAGAATAATTAATCACTTTTATCAAATTATAAAAATAAAAGTGACATATCAACTAAATACAGGTCTCTTTTCTAGTACACATAGTACCCCTTTTATTTTATTTATTTGTCATACTATTTTGAAGTTCAAAAAGGTACATACATTTTTGTCACTTCGAATATGTATAGGATTACTACTATATATATCTATATTACAAAATGTTTTAGAGAAAAACCAAACAAAATCTCAATGAACAAGCCATAAAATCAAATGATCTTTATAAAAAAAATCATATTATAGACTTTTTAAATTAATTGACGAACACATATTTTACTCTTTTAGTTTTTGTAAAGAAGAAAGCAACCTCTTCATCTTTTGATTTTAGTTTTTTTACCTATAATATAATATATATATATATATATATATATATATATATTTCAAATATCGTCATCAACTAAATGAGAATGTTCGAAGAAGGAAACAGAAAAAAAAAATGACAACCATTGAAATGGAATTACAATTTACATGTGTACGAATGAAAGAGCGGGTTGACTGAGTCAGAGAGAATCCCACAGCCAATGAATATGCAAACAGTTATACTTTTTATAATGTTCCATCTCTTTAAGTTATTAATACACTGAATATTTAAAATATAATACAAGAAATAAAATATTAAAAGTATCTATAATACATTGGTTTTTCCCTTTGAACAGTGATTAACGAGAAAAATAGATTACTGAAGCCATTCGTTTCTGTCATTTAATTTGATTCATATGCGTTCACTCCTACAAAAATAAAGAGTTCTCTATGTTTTAAGAACTAACACTTTAATAATTAGAGATTTTAATTAGAATATAAATTTAACGTAGCATAAACGAAATTGAATTATGATTAGACCGATCCTAATCAAAAAGTATAGAAAACCATAAATATAGTTTAAATATATGGTTCTTGGAACTTTTATCATACATATATTACTTAATCGTTTGAACTTGAGTTTACTTAAGCATCAGAGCATCTTAGCGTAGAAACCGGTATCGTGTAGCGGAATGTTTAAAGAGCGTGATAAAGTAAATAACCAAGAAGGCATGGGTGAATTTGTTCTTTTAAAAAAATTTGATTTTCTTTTAGAACTTTTATCAAACAGTTGATAAACTAAAAGTGCAGAGATAGAGAAAATCACACAAAGTATTTTATCTTGGTTCGAATCAAAAGAGTTTACGTCAAATCGTTAATCACTATAAACAATGATTAACCTTTTTCACTAAAATATCGTTTTCAGATTACAATCAAATTATATAAAGATTAAAGACAGAGAACAAATAAACAATGGAAGGAATTCAGCTCAATCAACTTGAAGAGAACCGCTTCAACGTTAGACATACTAAGCGCAAGCTTCTCCTATTCACAAGACTTGATTTGAGCACACTAACACTTGAGAACTTCCTCAGAATTTTTTCTGTATACTCAAATGGCTTAATTAACCTCTAAGAGGTTTAAGAAAATGTGTATACAGCTCAAAGGTTAGAAACTGAAAAAAAAAATTCAACTGCTAGTGTAAATCTATCATCAGTGATAATCGATTATTTGTGGTCGTTATGAGTTTTCACAAAAGTAATAGTCGATTATTCTGAGAGACAATCGATTATTTGCGCGACTTGGACAATATTAAATCAATCAATGATAATCTATTATTTGTGTAATAATTTATTATCACCTGAGATAATCGATTATCTGCGCAAAAATTCACTAAATACAAAAACTTCTAAGTATTTTTACATCATTACAATTAATCCTATACAATTGTTTCTACAAAATGCTTTTAACATAAATGCACCAAGAGTCTTCAATTCTTTAGCTTTTAACATCATAAAAACTTCATAGTAGCTTCAAGATACTAATGTTCCTCATTGGTAACACTTAACAGGTGCCACAAGCCAAAATCTTGGAATGGGCATCAATGCCATATTTTTGCCCCCTCAAAGGAAGAAGTCGATCGCTCCCAATTATGATAACAACAAACACTACCTTTATCATCAAAACTTGGGTCATACTGTAGAAGAGTGCTTAGCACTAAGGGATAAAATTTAAGAGTTCATTAGATTCAGTCACCTGAGGTAGTTTGTGAAGAAGGGTCGCTTGAATAAGAGTCCACCTTGGCGATAAAGTCTGATGCCTAGTCCTAGAAGAATAGGCCAAGGGACTAGAAGAAAAAAGGAGTTATCTAGGCAAGGAAGCCGAAGTCGAAGCAAAAGCGGATATTCCCCTCTCAAGAGCCACATAAACACCATATCAAGAGGATTTATAGGAGACGGTTCCCCAGCTCAGCACGAAAGAGACACATTTGGGTGTTTAAGACGGTGAATGTTGTCGAGAGGAGGATTAAAAGCATGTCTTCCATCATAATTATAGATGAAGACATTCAGGCTCCAAACCCTGATTAAGACAAGCCGATGGTCATCTTAATCAAGCTTGTTGAGTAGGGAGTCAGTAAAGTATTGGTTAATCAAGGAAACTCAGCCAACATATTGTAGTGGAAAACCTTCCAGAAGATAGATATCTCCAAATATCTTATTATGCCTTACAACAAAAAAAATAATAGAATTTTCTAGAGAACGGGTTGACACCCACAGTTACCTAGACTTAAGGACTTGGATAGGTTTAGGAATTAGCAGCCTAGAGGTACTAGTGTGGTAGTTGCCTAGAGGTACTAGTGTGGTAGTTGCTGATGAAGGCTAACACATCCTATAATGTGTTGTTAAGCCAACAATTCTTAAATGTATTCGAGGCTATAGTGTCCACGCCACACTTAGCCACGAAGTTTCCATTCCATAAAGGGTCGAATTTCCATGGTGCATGCATATCAGAAGACAGCTCAGGAATGTTACACAACTTATCTAAATGTGGCAGTGGTTGATCTAGACCTCAGAACAAATATCACTTATAGGATGGATCCACAATCAGAGACCAAAAGTTTAAAGATAGGTTTATTGGGTGATCAAGTCACTAAGCTGAGTAGTGATTTGAATAAGGAATAAGAGCAAATGGTATAGGTTTTGTTCTTAAAAAACAAAGACATGTTTGCTTAGCATTAACTGATATTCCTATAATACATCAGAGAGTTATGTCTCATAAGTTGGACATAGGAGGCCCGACCAATAGCGTAAATGAAACGCAAGTTGGGAAAAGAGAGGCAAAAAGTGACTAGGGCAGAAGTCAAAAGGTTGCACGAAGCAGGATTTGTTCGGGAAGTCAAGTACACAACTTGGTTCTCCAATATGGTCCTCGTGGAGAAGTCTAGAGATTAATGATGAATGTGCACCGACTTCACTGACTTAAATAAAAGCATACCCCTAAGATGTATACATTTTTCCTAACATCGATTGACTAGTAAATGGTGATACATCGAGCCACCAAATGTTAAGTTTTCTGAACGCCTATCGAGGGTATAACCTAATCCGCATGTACCACCCAGATAAAGAGAAGACCATGTTCATAACTGAGCAGACTAACTATTGTTATGAAGTAATTTCGTACGGCCCGAATAATACAAATTAACACATAAGCTCTTAATGGATAAGATCTGTCAAGATTAGATAAGAAGAAGCATGGAGGTCTACATCGATGATATAGTAGTTAAATCCCAGACAATCGATGATCACACAAAGGATCTAACAAAATATTTCAATCAGATTGAAAGTACAACATACACTAAGTGCATGTTTGGTCTAGGAGTAGGGAAGTTTCTCGGATTCATGTTGATTGATCAAGGCATAGAGGTCAATCCAAACAAGTCTGCAACAATCCTCAACATGAGAAGTGGGGTAATCTAAAGGAGGTCCAAAGGTTAGTAGGTCGGCTAACCTCGCTCTATAGATTTCTACTTCAGTTGGCTGAAAAGATAAAGTTGATTTTGAGTATCATGAAGAAGAAAACAACGATGAAATAGAACAAACAGTTCACTATTGAATTTAATGAAGTCAAAGTAGTCCTTAGCATCCCACCCACAATGTCCCAACCGATGTCTAGCAAAGAGGCGAAGTTGTATCTATCGGTGTCAAACGAGACCATTAACGCAACACTTAAGCAAGAAAACTCCAAGTAGAGGCCAATATACTTCATC